CGTTCGGGCCCCTCGTCCTGGTGTGAGTCGTTCGGGCTCCTCGTTGCGTGAGGTCTTGGGGGCCTCTTGGCGGCCCCAGGGGCTTCTAGGAGCGTCTGGGGTGCCTTGGGGGAGCCTCTTCGGGCCTCTTGGGAGCCTCTAGGAGGCGGTTTGTTGCGTCTTGGGGGCCTCTTGGCGGCCCCAGGGGCTTCCAGGAGCGTCTTGGGTGCCTCGGGGGAGCCTTTGGGGGCCTCTTGGGGGCCTCTTGGGGGCATCTTGGGGGCCTCTTGGAGGCCTCTTGGGGGCTCTTAGAGGCCTCTTGGAGGGGTCTGGGAGGAATCTTGGGGCCATCTGTCGGGCGATCGATCACAGATGGGGGGAGCACTTTTCTCCCTCCCCCCGTCGGGGCCAGAATCCTCGTGAGGGGTGTCGTTTTTTTAGCCCTCCGAAGAGTCGAAAAAGACCCCTCTGACCACCCGCGGGGCGCCCTCTCCAGGCCCAGGGGGAGGGGGTAGGGGGAGGGGTAACCCCCCCCCGAAGGGGAAGAAGGGGGGTTGAGAACAGAGCGGGCTCTTTAAACCACTCACGCCCAAAGGGCTGGTGGGATTCCATGATGATGATGTTGCTGCTGCTGATGATGATTATGATGATGCTGATGCTGATGATGCTGATGATGATGATGATGATGATGATGATGATGATGATGATGATGATGATGATGATGATGATGATGATGATGATGATGGTGGTGGTGGTGGTGGTGGATGATGATGATGATGATGATGATGATGATGATGCTGATGATGATGATGATGATGATGATGATGATGATGATGATGATGATGATGATGATGATGATGATGATGATGATGATGATGATGATGCCACGCTTGCTGTCCTGGGCGACCTGGGCGCATAGCGGCCGCGCTGAGGGACCACCCCTTGCGCAACTCCTACGGTGTCGAGGACATGCTACGCGTGCTATGCCCATGGCGACCGTGACGGATAGCGGCCGCGCTGAGCTGCGCACCCCTATGGTGTCGAGATTATGCCACGCCTGCTATGCCCTGGACGACCGTGACGGATAGCGGCCGCGTTCAGAAACCACCCCCGTGGGCACCCCCTATGGTGTGGAGAATGTGCCACGCCTGCTATGCCCTGCATGACCGTGACGGATAGTGGCCGCGCTGAGGGGCCAGCCCCTGCGCACCCCCTATGGTGTCGAAACTACGCCACGCCTGCTATGCCCTGGACGTCCGTGACGGACAGCGGCCGCGCTGAAGGACCACCCCCTGCGCACCCCTTATGGTGCCGAGAATATGCCACGCATGCTATGCCTTGGACGTCCGTGACGGATAGCGGCCGCGCTGGGGGACCACCCCCTGCGCACCCCCTATGGTGTCACGCCTGTTATGCCCTGGACGAAAAGCGCGCATAGCGGCCGCGCGGTATCCTCTATGTGGCGCATACGTCGTGGGTGTATGATACACTGGACACGCCAGGTGTGCACTGGCGTTGTTAGTGCGTGCGTGTGCGTGTGCGTGTGCGTCTGCGTGTGCGTGTGCGTGTGCGGTGCGTGTGCGTGTGCGTGTGTTTGTGCGTGCATGCGTGCGTGCGTGCGTGTGAGTGTGTGTGTGTTTGTGTGGTTGCGCGTTTGCGTGTTTGCGCGTTTGCGTGTTTGCGTGTTTGCGTGTTTGCGTGTTTGCGTGTTTGTGTGTTTGCGTGTTTGCGTGTTTGCGTGTTTGCGTGTTTGCGTGTTTGCGTGTTTGCGTGTTTGGGTGTGCGCGTGTGCGCGTGTGCGCGTGTGCGCGTGTGCGCGTGTGCGCGTGTGCGCGTGAGCGCGTGTGCGCGTGTGCGCGTGTGCGCGTGTGCGCGTGTGCGCGTGTGCGCGTGCGCGCGTGCGCGCGTGCGCGTGTGCGCGTGTGCGCGTGTGCGCGCGTGCGCGTGTGCGCGTGTGCGCGTGTGCGCCTGTGAGCGTGTGCGCGTGTGCGCGTGTGCGCGTGTGCGTGGGCGCGTGGGCGCGTGTGCGTGTGTGCGTGTGTGCGTGTGTTCGAATGTGTGTGCCGTGGCGTGTGCGTGCGCGTGTGCGTGTGCGTGTGCGTTGTGCGTGTGCGTGTGTGCGTGTGCGTGTGCGTGTGCGTGTGCGTGTGCGTGTGCGTGTGCGGGTGCGTGTGTGTGTGTGTGTGTGGGTGTGCGTGTGCGTGTGCGTGTGGGTGTGCGTGTGGGTGTGTGGGTGTGTGGGTGTGTGGGTGTGTGGGTGTGCGGGTGTGTGGGTGTGTGGGTGTGTGGGTGTGTGTGTGGGTGTGTGGGTGAGTGGGTGTGTGGGTGTGTGTGTGTATGTGTGTGTGTGTGCGTGTGTGTATGTGTGTGTGTGTGCGTGTGTGTGTGTATGTGTGTGCGTGTGTGTGTGCGGGAGTGCGGGAGTGCGGGAGTGCGGGAGTGCGGGAGTGCGTGCGGCTGTATGCAGACACGTGTCTTACGGACATGCCATGCATGTGTTGCGCGTGGTGCTCACTATGTGGCGCATACGTCGTGGGTGCAACACGGAAGGGAAAGGAAGGTGGGAGACGCGGGTGCGACGCGGCAGAGAAGAAAACCAGAACCCCACGAAACATGTGGGGAACGATCTCCAGTGGTGCTGTACGATTTCGCCCTGCTCACCGTCTCTCGATCTTCAGGGCGCCCAGCACGTCCCAAAGACGGCCCTGCCCAGCAAGGCCCCTCCACCTCCCCCCCCCTCCGCGCGCGCGCAAGCGCACGCGGGAGCGCGACCACGGCGACGGGCGACAACGCCGCCGCCGTCGGCGACGCCGCCGCCGACGACGACGCCGCCAGCGACGACGACAACGACCCGCGCAGGCCGCGCAGGGCTCCCGAGGCCGCCCGCTGGCTCCCGACCCGGGGCGGCCGCGGCCCGGCGCCGCCGGCCACGGCGACGTCTTCTCCTCCGGCGGCGCCACCGTGCTGAACAGCTCGGCTCGCCCCAGGACGGGGGCGCCGCCGCCGCCCGACGGCCGACGGGCGACGGCCGACGGCCGACGGCGACGACGGCGACGACGACGACGGCGACGACGGCGGCGGCGGCGGCGACGACGGCGGCGGCGGCGGCGGCGACGGCAACGGCGACGGCGACGACGATCGATGACGGCGACGACGACCATGGCGACGGCGGCGGCAACGACGATCGACGGCGGCGACGACGACCGACGGCGGCGACGGCGACGTCGATGGCGACGGCTGTGGCCACGGTGGCGACGGTTGCGACGACGGCGACGGCGACGGCGGCGGAGGAGGAGGTGGAGGAGGAGGAGGAGGAGGAGGAAGGAAAAGGGGGGTGATGGGGGCGGGAGGGAGGAAGAAGGGAGGAGAAGAAAGAGGGATGGGGAGAAGGGAGGGGAGGGAGACGGGAGGGTGAGGGGATGAGGACGAGAGGGATGGCGGAGGGAGGATGGAGGAGGAGGAGGACGGAGGAGGAGGAGGAGGAGGAGGAGGAAGGAGGAGGAGGAGGGTGGAGGGTGGAGGGTGGAGGGAGAATGGTGATGGGTTAAGCTGGGTGCTCTCGCGAAATATCCTCCTCCTCCTCCTCCTCCTTCTCGTTCTCCTACTCCTCCTCCTCTTCCTCCTCCTCCTCCTCCTCCTCCTCCTCCTCTTCCTCCTCCTCCCTCTGTGTTCCTTAATCAGTTTTCGTCTTTCGGGGACGGTAGGAAAAGTGCGGGTCGGGGGGCGGGCACGCTGGCCACTTGACTCCGCAGCCCCTGGCTTCAAGAGCCACCAGGGGCCTGTGGTGTTCAGTGGGCGTGCGAGCCTCAGGGGCGAAGCCACCGGGGCGCCCAATCAGTGCGCTTCTGGAGGCTCGCAGGGGCAGCGTCCCCCAAGCATCCGTCCTTCCCGCGGAGAGGTTGCGTCCCAGTGGCTCCCAACGGACCCCCCAGAGCTTACGTCGGAGATGACGGTAACATAGGCATGCCATTCTGAGGTCCGCGCGGATTTTGTGAGTCGGTGTCGGATCCTTCCCCGCACCGCCACGCGTAGGGGAAGAGGTTGTGGGGAGATGCCCAGCGCCGATCCGAGGAGTCTGCGCAGATCTTCGACAGTTACAGCCGGGGCCCTGAAGAAGGAACCCTTTTGGTTGGGGAGGGGCTCCGCGTTCCTTAAGTGTTTCACAGCTTGCCTCAGGTTTTCCTTAGGCTTTCGATGGGAAACCGAAGTTTTAACTTATGGAAAAAAGGGGCCTCGTTCCTTATTTGGTGTTCCTCAGGTCAACGCCCCGACTGTACACAATGGCCTGGCGCGTCTGGGGTCCTCCAGGGGCGCCGGGCGAGGAGGCGCGGCTGGACCGCAGTACCATCGGGGGAGCGTAAGACCCAGGTTTACCAGGACTCGGGTTCGCCATCGTTTTTTGACGACCGCGCCTCGGATTTTGACGAGGAGGAGTTTCGTGGGATGTCTGCAGCGGGAGGCCTCGTCAAAATGCAGGCTCGGCCTCGTCATTTTTTTGACGACCTCGTCGGGGATTTCCGAGTCCCCTGTACCCAGGTCTTACGTCCCCCTGATACCATGGCGAGGGGGCGGTCGCCCAGTCACACAGCATCGTGGGCTCTAGCAGCCAGCCTTCGATCCTAGTCCACGTGCACTGGTGCCCGAAAAGTGGGCGGGAGTGTAACTGTTCTGGCCTCCAGAGAGCGCCTTTGTACAGTCGGGGCCCCGAAGAAGGAACCCTTTTGGTTGGGGAGGGGCTCCGTGTTCCTTAGTTGTTTACAGTGCTCCTTGGGTTTGCCGGAGGTTTTCCATGGAAAATCAGAGTTTAATGTGTGGGGAGCAGGGGCCCCGTTCCTTATTTTTCGTTCCTTAGGTCAACGCCCCGACTGTATGGCCAGTTTAGTGTGGGTGGACGCGTCTCAGAAAGTCAGCAAGGATAGTACGGTCAGTGGGCTCGGGGAGCACTTTTGATTCTATTCCTGCTGGGGGCATGATCATCCTTTGTCGCGTGCGTTTGAAAGGAAGTGCGACTTGTTGCTGGTTCAAGGCGCCGCCCCCACCCGCTTCCGCCCCATGCGCGCTCCCATGCCGCCCTATGAGCAGCGCCAGCGCCCAACCGCCTGGCCAGTCGTGCACCAGCATGGTGCCGTCCAAGCCCCCCTGGGTGACCGAGTCCGAGCGGCGCTGCTGGCGCAGAAGTCCGCGAGCAGCGAGGAGGAGCGCCGCGACCTGGACCAGCTCGAGATCGAGGAGATCGAGGTCCATCAGAAGCACCTGCGGCTGATCCACGACCAGATGGCGGCGCTGAGCGCCGATGCTCTCAAGACTCGCGCGGAGGTGGGGGAGCTGCGGAGCCACTGCGTGCGCAGCGAGGCGGAGGTCGCCTCCTGGCGGGGCGGCGTCGAGGCCCGGCTCGGTGACCTGCAGGCCGCGTGCGCGAGGGCGGAGGCGAGGCAGCGGGAGGCGGTGGACGAGCTGCTGGCAGCGAGGGGCCGGGGGGACCGCGCGCCGTCGGAGGCCGACGCGGAGATCGCCGCCTGGAGGAGAGGCATCGAGGCCCAGCTCGTGGACCTGTCGGCGGCGTGCGCGAGGGCGGAGGCGAGGCAGCGGGAGGCGGTGGAGGAGCTGCTGGCGGAGAGGGGCCGGGGGGATCGCGCGTCTTCGGAGGCCGGCGGGCAGCTCGAGGCGTTGGCGGTCCAGCTGGCCCCTCAGCTCCAGGAGCTGCAGGCCGAGCTCGCCCAGGAGAGGTCCTCGCGCCGCGCCGAGGAGGACGCCGTCGCGAGCAGGCAGAGGCTGCTCGAGGAGCGCCTCAGGGCCTTCGAGGACCTGGTCCAGGGCGAGATCCAGGACCGCGCGGCGGAGTACCGACGCCTCTGGGGCGCCCTGCACGAGCGCGCGGAGGACTGGGCACGCCAGGCGCCCAGCGCCCCGGCACGGCAGGACGCCAGCCCCGTGCCCTCGGAGCGGGGCCCCGGCGCCACCCCGCCCCCGCGCGCCGCGGACCCAGAGCCCCCGCCGCCTCACTCGGCGGCCGCGGGCGCCCGGCTCCGCCGGCTGCCGCCCGCCCCCGCCGGCGGCGCCGGGGGCGCCGGCGCTGACGAGGCCGCGGGCGCGGGCGCGGCTGGGAGCAGCTGCGGCGCGCAGGGGACCGCCCCGCGCCCACCGCCGCCGGCGCCCGCGGGCGCGGCGCCGCGCGCGGGGCGCGGCGGGGCGCCCCCGGCGGCGGCGCGGGGCGGCGTCTGGGAGGGCGTCGCCCTCCCGGCGCCGGCGCCGGCGTGGGCGCCCCCCCAGGATCGGGAGCGGAAAAGAGGGGGGTGATGACTAGGGGGGGAGGGATTTCATGGCGCGGGCCATGATTTTTCCTCAGATTTCATGGCGCCTCTTGTTATTTCATTACGTCCCAGGCCCCCCCGCTGGGCCGCCGTGCCGCCGGTCATGATTTGCACCCCCCCCCCTCTTGGACACCCCCCTCTTTGCCGCCCCCGACAGGAGCAGCCGCCGGGGCAGAGCCTGGCGGCCCTGCTCGCGGCCGAGGAGGCGCGCGCCAGCCGAGGCCGCCACGAAGGGGCGCCCTCGACGCCAGGGGCGGGGCTGGAGGGCCCCCACGACCTGCTCCGCGGCCTCGACGCGTCGTGGTCGGAGCAGCCGCGGGGGCAGGGCCAGCCGTCGCCCCGCACGGGGCCGCCGGCCTCGGCGCAGGCGCGGCCGCCGGGGCCGCTCGCCGCCTCGGCGCCCGCGCGGGCGGCGGCGGCCGCGGGGAGGTCGCCGCGGTCCGAGCCGCGCGCCAGGCTCGGCGCCCCGCGGACCCAGACATGCTCTCAGGGCTGGACAGAACCCCCAACAGTGACACGTCGATTAGTGAATTGTCCGTTTTCGGTTCTCGAGAGGGCGCCGTGGCCGTTATTTTCCAGGCTTGCGCCCGCCAGGTTTGGGCCCGAGGTCGTTTTCACTGAACCACGTTTTACTAAAGGGAGGTCTGTCCATCCCCGATGCCCGTGTCGTCCGAGGATCACGTGCGGCGGATGGTTTTGGCCGAGGTCGGCCCTGGGGGGCCTTCGCTGGGCCCCCAGGATTTGCCGAGAGACGGCCCGCGATGAAGAAGCGGCCCCGGGGGAAGGGGGGGCCGGGACTGCGGGAGACCCCGCATTGTAAAAGGATCAAGGCGTCGCATGTCTGGGGAATGGGGCGGGTGTTTGGGCGTCGACGTGGTCGGCGCCCCCGACCCAGACTTGGTCAAAACCAGTCCCTGCATCCTTCTTGGGGTTCGCTCTGGCCAGTTTCCCGAAACGCGTCCAGCCGACGAGAACCTCTGGAAGCACCCAAGGCTTCCTTATAAGACGACGTCGGCGCCCAACACTCACCCCCTCTTCGGCGCGACGCCAGAGGCAGCCCGGGGAGATCTCGCGACGCGAGCCCGTCGAGGACTTGGAGGCGACGCCCCTTTCTCGGTTTGCCGTGTAGCGGCCTGGCGTGCCTTGCCTCCGTTTCCCCCGTCAGGTTCCGCAGATGTCTGTCAACCCAGACCCCCGACGTCATGATTTTTTCATGACGTCGACCCCCAGAGATCTCGACCCATTCCACGGGATCGGTTTTTCATCCTGAGCCGTTTTTTGACGGTCCCGAGGGCCGGTTAGGGCCTCCAAAGGCCGAAAATTAGGAAAAAAATACCGTCATGATTTTTTCATTACCCGAGGGGGTCTGGGGATGTCTGTCAATGCTCCACATGGCACGTCTCTGCGCGCCTCGTCGGAAAAACACATCCTGGCGGAGCACCCTCCTGATCGCAGGGGCTGCGGACGGTGCGGGGTACGGTTCTTTCAGGGTCGTAGTCCGAATGCCCTACTAGGACGAGGAGGGGGAGGAGGAAGACGAGGAGGAGTGATGATGATGATGAGGAGGAGGAGGAGGAGGAGGAGGAGGATGAAGATGAGGATGAGGATGAGGATGAGGATGAGGATGATGGTGATGATGATGATGAGGAGGAAGAGGAGGAGGGGATGATGATGAGGAGGAGGGGGAGGAGATGGGGATGATGATGTTGGTGCTGATGAGAATTATGATGATGCTGCTGCTGCTGATGATGATGATGGTGGTGATGATTATGATGCTGGTGATGATGCTGATGATGCTGATGATTCTGCTGCTGATGATGCTGATGATGCTGATGATGATGCTGATGATGATGATGCTGATGATGAGGAGGAGGGGGAGGAGGAGGAGGAGGAGGAGGAGGAGGAGGAAGAGGAGAGGAGGAGGTGTAGTAGTAGTAGTAGTAGTAGTAGTAGTAGTAGTAGTAGTAGTAGTAGTAGTAGTAGTAGTAGTAGTAGTAGTAGTAGTAGTAGTAGTTAGTCGTAGTACTAGTAGTAGTACTAGTAGTAGTAGTAGTAGTAGTAGTAGTAGTAGTAGTAGTAGTAGT